CATAACCATACCACCAAAGGCCATAATTTGTGAAGTTCAACCAGTTACTATTAAAGCACAACCAAGCAATACAATTGAAAAAGATCTGAAGTTACTCGAAGATGTGGATATTACCCAAAGTGATCTCACAGATGAACAACTTGATGAAGGGAAACAACTCATATTGAGATACACAGACATTTTCAGTAGAGGAGACAACGATTTAGGAAAAACCAACAGAGTTAAACATCGAATAGATCTGATTGATGAGACTCTATTTAAACACCAGTACAGAAGAATTCCACCATCAATGTACGATGAAGTTAGATCTCATCTAAGACAACTTTTGGACATGGGAGTTATCAGACCATCACGTTCACCATTCGCATCAGCTATTGGCATTGTTAGGAAGAAGAATGGACAGCTAAGAATGTGTGTGGATTACAGACAGTTAAACAAGCAGAGTAAACATGATAGTTACGCACTCCCGAGAATAGAAAAGCTTTTAGATTGCTGTGCTGGCAGCAAATTCTTCTCAGTCGTCGAGATAAAGTCCGGTTACCATCAGGTGGAGATTTTGAAAGACCATAAGGAGCGTACTGCTTTCTCCGTGGGACCTCTTGTTCAACAGGATGCCTTTTGGACTTATGAACTCTCCAGCAACATACCAGAATCTGATGGAAGATTGCCTTGCAGATTACAACCTGAAGATATGTTGCATCTTTATTGATGATTTCATCATTTATGGTAGGACATATGAGCACTTAAATAATCTACACCTAGTATTTAAGAGGATAAGAGAGGCCAATCTGAAGCTGAACTCCAGCAAGTGCGAATTCTTCAAACGCGAGGTAAAGTATGTAGGACACGTGGTATCAGAAGAAGGAGTGGAAATAAACCAACAGAAGACAGAGAAGGTAGTGAACTGGCCAACACCAACTAGTCCAGAGGAAGTCTGGAAATTTTGGGGATTTGTCGGCTATTACAGACGCTTCATACAGAGTTTCAGCAAAGTCAGCCGACCTTTGACCGATTTGATTCCAGCACCAAACAAGACGAAGAAGCCCATATCCAAGTCATCCAGAGAGTGGACATGGAATGAGCAACACCAACAGGCATTCCAGACACTGAAAGACCACCTTGTAAGTGCACCAATCCTTGGTTATGCAGATGGTTCATTACAATATGAGCTTCATACTGATGTCTCTGGAGATGCTTTAGGAGCAGTTCTTTACCAAGAACAGCAGGGAATGAAGAGAGTCATCAGTTATGCCAGTCGAGGACTCAACCAGGCTGAACGCAACTATCCACCACACAAAAGAGAATTTCTGGCATTGAAATGGGCAGTATGTGACAAGTTTAGAGACTACCTTTATGGACAAGACTTCACAGTGTACACGGACAACAACCCAGTCACCTATGTCAAAACATCTGCGAAGTTAGACGCCACAGGACACCGTTGTCTAGCAGGATTAGCAGCATTCACTTTTGACATCAAGTACAGACCTGGCAGAACCAACGCAGATGCGGACGCACTTAGTCGGTTACCCATCAGCAGTGATTCCATCCAAGCCATCTGTAATGTAGCCATGCCAGAATCTTACATTGACAGTCTTACGTTAAGATCAACTGGAAGAGTCATGTCAGTCCATTGGTTATCGCCTACAACTACACCAGACATGACAGTACAGGACAGTCGCCTTACATGTTGATGTTTGGACGTAACCCTAGGTTACCGATTGATGCAGCTTTAGGCTTGAGAGAAAACCAACAAGAGATAACAACAAAGTATATAAAAGATCTGAAGGACAGAATCACACAGGCACACGAGTTGGCAATTACATCTGCAAATAAGGCCAGAAATCAACAAAAGAGTCATTACGACAAGAGAGTTCAAGGAGGGACAGTAAAAGTAGGAGATATTGGTAAAGATTGTTAGCTTTGAAGGGAAACACAAGTTGGCAGATAGATGGCAACAAGAACCCTACACAGTGCTAAGCCAACAGTCGTGAGAATGAAGACATCCCTGTATTCATGGTCAGGAAGGAAAATGGAAAGGGACGCACAAGGACGCTCCACCGTAACCTTCTGGTACCAATTGGTTTTCTTAGCGACACGCCAGAACCTACATCTACTCAAAAACCGAAACCAAGGCCATGGAAAAGACCTGCCAAGAGGACACAGGAACTGGGAACAACCCAACCTGACGCAAAAAAAGATTCAGATGAAGAGTCAGAATGGGATTATAGAGTCATCACAAGAACTGGTATCGTCAGTGATTCATCCATCACTGAACAGAGTATACCAAAAAATGCTGATGAGGATATCGTAGATACAAGCGAGACAGAAGGGGACGCCCAGTCATCTGAGGGTACTACTAATATCACAGAAGAAGTCGAGCTTGTACTTGAAAGAAGCGCTTCAACTGTTGAGACTGTTCAGGAGGAACCGCCTGATGAGGAAACAGCTCAGGATACTGATATAGAATCTGATGATGAGCAACCAGTTCAACCATGTCGTTCCGTCAGAGAACGGAGAGTTCCCCTCCGATTCCGATCAGGAGATTACGATATGACAAAGTGTGCACAGAGGCCACCTATACCAGATTTGGAAAAGAAGGTGCAATGCATCATTTCACTGTCAGACAGAGGATTTTTGGAAGGATTACAATCTGAGGCAGGAAAGACCATCTTAGAGATACTGAAGTCTTCTTCACATGCTCTAACCTGAAATGACGAGACGTCATTTTCCAGCTGGGGGAAGTATGTGGAAGGGTGAAATTTCAATGGTTTGTATGTATATATTTTTAACTTTCAGGATTGTACTTTGATCTGTATGAAATTACTGTTTTTATAATAAAATATCCATTGGAACATATTTATTGGATCTGTTTACTTAATTACAGAATAGTATCTTATTTCAATAATAAAAGAATGAAGCGTGCTGTTTTATTTATCTTTATATGCTAATTAAGGTGATGACCTGATTTCTGGTATGTGAATCCTTTAAATGTCTATTCATTGTATTGGTCACTTTGTCCATTCTCATTGTAAATCACATGACTTTTGTATATCTGTGGAAGGAAATCTTTGTTCTTTGAAAGTATTCCTTTTGATTTGTATTCAGCATGAAGGCAGACATTTTGAGATATACAAAATATTTTATATTCTGATGTCCATTTGAGGCTTTATACTCAGTTACTGTTTTACTTTGTCATCATATTCTTCATTGAGGTAGTTATGATTACTAACATATATTTAATTATCATTTATTTAATAATTCTAGTGTATTTGAGATGAGTGATTGATTGACTGACGTATAATACAGCTAAATTGATTAAATGGTTAAAAACTATAAAAGTATTAAAAACATATATGAGTTAATATTTAAAACCATTAAATATTAATATAAACTATCTGAATAGTATTTTTATCATTACACTAGTAATTATTAATTAAAAGTAGGATTTCATGTACAATATGTGTACTGGTGTAATTGTGCATTTTGGGCCACAATAGTTATAATCTTTATTTTATATTCAGGTGTTACCATGTTTTGATGAGTCATGTTTGATTCCATCCTATTGTTTTGACCTTTGCGTCTAAGTATGAGGTAAGCATTGAGTTTGGTTTTATATGTTTTGCTATCAATGCTTATTATTTTATTTGCTTATGCTTATTTTTAATTGCTTTGGTTTCGCTTAACATTAGCTATTTAGTTTGTTTCGTGTAGCATTTAGTTTTGCATGTAATTATATTTTCAAAACATTATTACATAATTGAATAGTTTGTAAAATCAATAAGCGATTTAATTCAATTAGATTACATTAACATATTTTGTTAGAGAAAAGGTTCAGAACTTGTATCATTTATTTTAATTGGAAATTCATTGCGTTCTCATTGTACTCATGCTTTTATTCTTGAACCGTTGTTTATAATTTTATATTTCATTACAGGGTCTTTTTGTTACCAATTATTTTCCATATCGTAATGAAAAACGAATCCAAAACGTGAGAAGTGTTTTTATTTGTGTTCTACAAACCCAGAAAAACCACCTGACTACATCCACATGAACGGTAAATAACTTTGAAGAGTAAGGTCTCTAGATTACTGGAAGTACAAGGCCCTTACTCTGGATATGTTGACATTCAAATTTGATTGGATTGACGTCATAACATCCGTGTTATCGAGTCGATCTCGAGGAACCCTGCCCACATCCAGGACTCCTCGAGTTCTAATGGCGGGAAAGCTATATCCAATCATAACAGGTGTTATATAGATCTCACAAAACATGTTTAACCCCGCCGCATTTTGGCGACTGTCCCAAGACAGGAGCCTCTGGCCTTTGTTAGTCTTGTATGTTTTTTTAATTTTAGTTCATTTATATGTTTTGAAGTTTAGTGTGACGTCCATTTTCATTGAACTAATACACATTTTTGTTTAGGGGCCAGCTGAAGCCCGCCTCCGGGTGTGGGATTTTCTCGCGGTGTTGAAGACCCCACGGCTGTTATCTGCTCTTTGGTCGGGTTGTTGTCTCTTTGACACATTCCCATTCTCATTTTTATGTCAGTCATATTTACTCTAGGCTAAGTTCGAACGAAACTCTAGAGTAAATAGGGTAGGATAGAAACATCAAGCAGCTGGCAGGGTTGAATACTCCCATTATATACATTATGGTGTGAATTCCATCAGGCATAGTTGACTATATTTGGGCAATTCTTTTTAGTCCCCTTTATAAAAATAAGGAGATGTGGTATGATGCCAATGAGACAACTATCCACCAAAGTTCAAATGAAGTGGATGTAAGCAACTATAGGCAACCGTATGGCCTTCAACAATGAGAAAAACCCATACTGTATAGTCAGGTTTAAAAGGTATCGCACTGCTCTGCATGTATTCATCAAGACATCTTCTGCATGGAGCATCAACCCAGAGAACTGTTTCAGATGCAGCAAAATCAAACTGTTTGACTTCATATATAACCATGACAACATATAAACACTAGAAAATAAATAAAACAAATTTTTGGTGTTTTTTTCATTTATTGTACAACAAAACCAAAATACTGGCGTTACAAATATAATATCACTGTAATGCTCTTCTTAAAACATAAGGCGTTATTGACACATTATAAAATTACAAAAAACTAGGTTTTTTCATAATACACGTAAAGCTTTAGAATCAAAACAAAACAAAGCTATGACTCTTTCTTGTCAAACAAAACTAAAACTTCATAAAGCTAAACTATTAATCCTTACATCTTTGAAACAGTACTTTATTTTCCATGTTAAATATGAGGTTATGGTACCTGAATCAAGCCACTGACAAAATTCTGGTAAATGAATTCTCCCTGCCCGTGATTCAAAACAGCAAATCACCCATCACATTACAAAATATTTTTCCCATCAAACTGAGAAAACTGCTAACAAAATATGGAACTTTTTTGGAAATAGGACAAAAAATGTTCTAGTTTAAAAATACCATGCCCACATTCTTTAATTTTCTTAATCCTGATGGCCATGTGATACTGATATTATGAACAAATAATTTCATAAATATTTTAGAAATTTTGAATTCAAATAGTCAGATTTCATTTAATACATCCTTGATGAATTTATTTTGAGTAATTCTAGAATTTAAACAGTCTTCATCATTGGCCAAGTACGAATGAAACCAGAGTTCTGACTAGAGTTCCACATGAATGGTAAATAATTTTGAAGAATAAGGTCTCTAGATTACTGGAAGTACAAGGCCCCTACTCTGGATATGTTGATATTCAATTTTTGATTGGATTGACGTCATAACATTCAGGTTATCGAGTCAATCTCGAGGAACCCTGCCCACATCCAGGACTCCTTGAGTTCTAATGGCGGGAAAGCTATATCCAATCATTACAGGTGTTATATATGACCATGTCAATCCTATTTACTCTAGAGTTCCATTAGAACTTGGCCATTGTGAATGACAGCTCTAACTTCTTAATTGTGATTGACAGCTCTAATTTCCTAACCTAACTTTACCTTAAAATAATGAAGTGTCTAATGACAAAAATTACTCAAATGATAAACTTGCATATTAAATAGTAAATATTACCTGTATATTTAAAGCCACATGGATATTTTTCCTTTAACTCATCAAACTGAGTAACCTACTAACTATTGAATGAATGAAATAATCATTTTTATTCTTAAATTAAATAAATTATTAAAAAAAAATTACATTAAAAAATGGATAATCATAAATGAACTTTTGTCATATAAACATTAATTAAATAAAACTTTTTTTAAAGGTAATCTCTAATGGATTCCAATTTGTCCATCAAAATGGTAAACTTGTAAACTTGTCTTTAGGGCTATTCCATTGTATGTGGGAGCTAGGAAGTGAAGTATTATTTTTTAATATGGTTGTGGGTCAATTATGATATTTTACCCATATTATGTCAGCAAAATTACTTATGTTGGACGTGAAAGAATTTTGAGAGTTCCTGCCTACACTCCTTTATCCATATAATGGAATAGCTCTTAATAGTACCAGTAGGCAGATCCCAATCAAAGAGCTTGTGAGCACTGAAGGGTTAAGATTGCTTTCATGTTGCACATTTGAGAAATTTAAAATAAAACATTGGATAGTATTTAGCTAGCTAGGTTAACTAAATTTGAGTTGGAGTTATCTTCCTTTGTTCATGGTTGTACATTGGTAGTTGAACCTATTTTTATAACAGATTCATACACCATGTATAACTTATGAATTTTAATAAAACTAGAGGCTCTCAAGAGCCTGTGTCGCTAACCTGTATCTACTGTGGTTTTGGAAATCATGTAAAATAAGGTTAAAATCATAATAAATAGTATTAGATACCCCAATAATGATTGAGACCAAGTTTGGTTTAATTTGGCCCAGTAGTTAAATTAAAAGCTGGTCATCCCATTGTAGTCTTACAATAGTTACTGAAGACTCCTTATCATTATTTAAATTAGTTTTCAAGTTGTGACCATTTGAAATTGTTTTTTTACAATTTTCCCATAGACTTCAATACTAAACCCCTATGTTCTATTTTAGCCATGGCAGCCATCTTGATTGATGGGCAGGGTCATCATTTTTTAAACTAGATACCCAAAGGATGATTTTGGCCAAGTTGGTTTAATTTGGCCCAGTAGTTTCAGAGGAAAACATTTTTGTAAAAGATAACAAAAAATGATGAAAAATTGTGAAAAATTGACTTTACAGGGCAAAATTTCCTTAAAATTACAAATTCAGGGGCAGCATTCCAACATAGGGTTGTCTGATGCGTCTGAAAATTTCAGGTAGATCTTGACCTGATGAACATTTTTACCCATTGTCAGATTTGCTCTAAATGCTTGATTTTCAGAGATATAAGCCAAAAACTGCATTTTACTCCCATGTTCTATTTTTAGCCATGGTGGCCATCTTGGTTTAAAAGTTAACAGACGACGAGGACGGACGCCAAGTGAAGAGAAAAGCTCACTTGGCCCTTTTGGGCCAGGTGAGCTAAAAAAATGTATTCTTAACAAGTATGGTAATTCAAATGCACATCATATTGTAACTTAAACATCAAAGTATAATATTTCATGGATAAATTGCATGACATTGATTGGATAGGATCTAAATAATGATCACTTTACTGCGCTATTTTGTATTAACTATCAAAGGTAGTGATAAACCTTGGAAGATATAGATATCAAGTCAGTACCATACAATTTTCACCCAAAAAATGGATAAATGAACTTTTGTCATATAAACATTAATTTAATAAAGCTTTTTTAGGTAATATCTCTAATGGATTTAAATTCTTCTGTCAAAACCCTGAAATGGGAAACATGTCTTTGGGGCTTAGTGTTTTATCTAGAACTTAAAAAGGGCATGGTAATTTTTTTGCCAAAAGGGCACTTTGCGCGTCGACTGTACCAAATAGGGCACATAAATAAACTACACATGTAGTAAGTTACACTTTTTCAGTTTTTCTCATTAAAAAAGGTTTATAAATTTTACAAAGTTAAGCTGGTACTATAATGATATTAGTATAAAAGTCTCAGAGTTGAGCAACTTTAGTTAATAAATTGAAACAATGGATCTACATGGAACTATATACCTTAATCAAGTAGATCTAACCAAAAGTATGTTAATGCGTGTTGAATAAAATTGAGAATGGAAATGGGGAATGTGTCAAAGAGACAACAACCCGACCATAGAGCAGACAACAGCCGAAGGCGACCAATGGGTCTTCAATGCAACGAGAAACTGCATACTTTTTCTTTTTGGGAACAATATTTTACTGTCAGCTGTGCCATTCTTGCATCCGTAGTCATTATCGTAAGAATCGGGATTTCATTCATAGCTGGTCCGGTTTCCGACTCCTTTCCCTACTTTGTACAAATATTTTAATGGAGGACGAAGAAAATTAACAAAAATAAACGATGTTTGGCACGCAATTTGGAAAGAAATAGGACATTTTCAATGCAATTAATGGATTACAAATTTACTTCAGGCAACTTTCATCACGTTCTAATGAAGTAACACACTTATTTAGCCGAAACTAAATAATTTAATCATTTACGCTCTCGAGTCTCGCGGAAGTGATAAATTTGTCTTCATGAAATACATGCAACCAACTTAGTCAATGCTTGTCGCCCTTTGATCAGCAAAAAACCCAATACCGCAACTGGATCTCAAACTAGATAACGCTACAAGGCACATGGCGTCAAATTTTTCAAGAGAAAAAGGGCATGGCGTCCGAAAAAAAAAAAGGGCATGGCGTCAAGAAAAAAGGGCAGTGCGTCAGGAAAAAAGTGCTAAATTGCTTTAGATAAAACACTAGGGCTATTCCATTGTTTGTGGGAGCTAGGAAGTGATGTTTCATCTTGGACGTCACTTAATAGTATAAGTAAAGGGATTCCAAAACCAAATCATCAATTTTGAAATAAAAAGAAAGAAAAAACTTGACAGCTAAAAATATGTAGCTATATATGATACATGAAATTAATACCCAAAGAAAAAACAATCTGTATTTATGCTCATGTGTATATAAATATTAAAACCTTGTAAAATTCAAAACCCTGTAAAATGACTAGTGTAGAACATAAAACAAAAAAATCATTAACTACAGTAAATTCAGAAATTATTGTGAGGTTTTTATTAATGTGAATAATGCGAATGTGTGAGTATCGCAATAATAAGAACTTGCATTCTGATATCTGATACATATATCTGTATGCAGGTGTACCTGAAATTCAAATCGCAATAATTAATCTCTTGTCCATTCATCAAAAATTTCAATATTAAATACACACAATAATTTCTGAATTCACAGTAATAAAATAAATCAGAATTGCCCTATGGATTTAAAATGTCTTTCGGTAACTGGTTGACCCTCCAATAAAATAAAACTCTAGATTAGAGTTCAACCTCCTATACAAAAGGAATATACCCAGTTCAGCAAACAAGAACAGTATGACTTAGAATCAGAACTGTTTCTCTAATAAATTTATCATTTTAAAAACAATAAGACGTGGTATGATTGCCAATGAGAAAACTCTCCACCAGAGATCAAATGATGTAGAAGTTTGAAACAAAAGTTATTATACGTTCATTCTGTATCGGTAAATTTTTGTGTCTTCATATGAAATAATCTACTATAAGTTGTCCATTGCCCTGATTTTTGTTTGCATTTTTCAAAATTACTGTGCATAACGATTCTTATTTGTTAAACATTGTGTACTAATATTTCCAGATAAAAATGACCACAGCAAAAGCATAAGGGTTGAGAATGTGTTTTACAGTTTACAATAAATTGTTGACAAAGGACTTTATATTAAAATATCTAGTAGTAGTAGATTAGGAACTGTCAGAATTTTGTTAATGAGTGATATACATAATGTTCAAAAAAAACTTTCACAAATGAATTTCTTTTAGGTAAGGGAGACAACCAAAGGCTCCTCAATTTTTTTAACACTTCAATGCCTATCTGACTAGGTATACACAATGCCCTTTACATTCCTTCAAGAATGTTTATTTCTCACATTTTTAACTTTTCCTTTATTTCCTAACCCTTCTAGTCTTTTCTTAGGTCAAGCATAATTTTTATTCCAGCAACCCTTATATTTCTTGCTGTTCTCAAAACCTTAAATATACTTCTTGTTATTATTTTATATATATTTTTCATACATTTAACCATTCATTAATTCCCACAAATTGTACAAAATATGCATCAAATGAGAAATAAACTCAACAATTTCACATATTCCATTGACAAACTAAAATAAAAATTTGACAGTAAAACAGTTACCTCCCTTAGAATCATTTGGTAAATTCAATCTTACTCAACACCTACATTAAAACACAATCCAGAAAAAATCCTTTTCAAACATATGAGCTTTTATATACAATGATAAGTTAAAAGTATAGGTCTTTCAGATTGCTTAAATAATGAAAACCATGGATTTCTGATCTGAACACAAGCACCTGTCGGATTTGCAGAAAGAATAAAACATTTCATTGGAATGTTTTAAAATGAGCAAAGTTATCTCATCCTTGTCACCTGAAGCAACACTAACTTCCTGTTAATCAAGTTCCATCTTCTACTGGTCTCTCCTGGTTACTGGATGAAGGCTGTGAACCAGGAACCTCATCTATATCTGGGTTATCAAAGAACTGAAAGTAAACACAGAAAAATACAACTATATGGTTTACTTGCAGAAGATGTCATTTCCATCATTTGGAAACTATACAAATTTTTCCCATACCTAGATTGACAATACCCTAAAAGATTGATTGATTGTTGGCACTTTGGCTATATGATGGCGGCCGGTTTGTATTGGTGGAGGAAGCCAGCTGGCCCCTAAAAGGAGTTGAATTGAATATAAAATAACTTAGTAGTGGGATCATTCAGAGAGATAATCTAAAAAGTATTCTGTAAAGACTAACCTTTGTTTAAATTATATGACTGGGAGACCTACTAATAATTATGTGTGTTCTACGAATGATGGCATTTCATTTGTAAGCATTAAATTTAATATTAGCTTCTTAGATCCCTAGCATCTGTTCCAAATGCTCATCAGATTGACTGTTTTAGTGAGCTTTTTGTTGCTTAGTCTTTAGTTTTCTCGACTGTTTTAGTGAGCTTTTTGTTGCTTAGTCTTTAGTTTTCTCGACTGTTTTAGTGAACTTTTTGTTGCTTAGTCTTTAGTTTTCTCGACTGTTTTAGTGAGCTTTTTGTTGCTTAGTCTTTAGTTTTCTTGACTGTTTTAGTGAGCTTTTTGTTGCTTAGTCTTTAGTTTTCTTGACTGTTTTAGTGAGCTTTTTGTTGCTTAGTCTTTAGTTTTCTCGACTGTTTTAGTGAGCTTTTTGTTGCTTAGTCTTTAGTTTTCTCGACTGTTTTAGTGAACTTTTTGTTGCTTAGTCTTTAGTTTTCTCGACTGTTTTAGTGAGCTTTTTGTTGCTTAGTCTTTAGTTTTCTTGACTGTTTTAGTGAGCTTTTTGTTGCTTAGTCTTTAGTTTTCTCGACTGTTTTAGTGAGCTTTTTGTTGCTTAGTCTTAAGTTTTCTCGACTGTTTTAGTGAGTTTTTTGTTGCTTAGTCTTTAGTTTTCTCGACTGTTTTAGTGAGCTTTTTGTTGCTTAGTCTTTAGTTTTCTTGACTGTTTTAGTGAGCTTTTTGTTGCTTAGTCTTAAGTTTTCTCGACTGTTTTAGTGAGCTTTTTGTTGCTTAGTCTTTAGTTTTCTCGACTGTTTTAGTGAACTTTTTGTTGCTTAGTCAAGTTTTCTCGACTGTTTTAGTGAGTTTTTTGTTGCTTAGTCTTTAGTTTTCTCGACTGTTTTAGTGAGCTTTTTGTTGCTTAGTCTTTAGTTTTCTCGACTGTTTTAGTGAGCTTTTTGTTGCTTAGTCTTTAGTTTTCTTGACTGTTTTAGTGAGCTTTTTGTTGCTTAGTCTTTAGTTTTCTCGACTGTTTTAGTGAGCTTTTTGTTGCTTAGTCTTAAGTTTTCTCGACTGTTTTAGTGAGTTTTTTGTTGCTTAGTCTTTAGTTTTCTCGACTGTTTTAGTGAGCTTTTTGTTGCTTAGTCTTTAGTTTTCTCGACTGTTTTAGTGAACTTTTTGTTGCTTAGTCTTTAGTTTTCTTGACTGTTTTAGTGAGCTTTTTGTTGCTTAGTCTTTAGTTTTCTCGACTGTTTTAGTGAGCTTTTTGTTGCTTAGTCTTTAGTTTTCTCTGTAGTGTTTTGAAAGCTGTTATTTTTCGTCATTTTTAGGTTTTTTTTGTCATGGTTTTGTTGAGTTACTTTTCCACTTATGGATTTTGATTGTCCGTAAGGTATCTTCCACATATTTTTGTATTGCATCCAAAATAATTGTCCTTCCTCATGATCATTCCTTAATCATGAATATTCATAAATATTGTTTATTTCATGGAAGCTATTGTTCTAAAAATGATTCTTACCTGAATAAGATTATTAAATCTAATTAATAATCAATCTTCATGATTCCTTAATCATGAATATTCATGAGTATTGATTTCTTAAGGTTCAAAAAATTATCCATACCTGAATTAGATTATCTAATCCAAATAAATAACCATCTTCATGATTCCCTAACGTCCATGGATCTCGATGAGTCAGTGTTATATCAGTCATCAACATAGTTTTTGTGAAGTCAATAAGCCACGCCCCACTTGCATTGTTTCCATCAAATATAACCAAGACAGAACTACCGATCATCTAAAAATAGAACATATTATTTATAGATCTAACAGTGAAAGCTTTAAAGCTTTTAGGCTTGTTTACCTGCCATGCTCTGTGGCAGTGTGCTAAAATATAAAATATAACAAGAAATGAGCAATACAACTGACAGCTAAATGGGTTTTATGTATTTGGAAGGTGCTTTCAGACTTGGTGGACCTGCCATGATATGTGCCTATTTTCCAATCTATTAAGGACCTTACTCCTGAACAAGTAAAAAGTGAAAATCATTAGTATTGAACTTGACCTCCATTTTGTCATCAGTAACAGAATATTTAAATTTGAAAATGATAAAATTATTGGTTAAACGGTCCATAAGTTAAAGCATCAAAACTGTTAAAGCTATACCTTAATAAGATTACCTATTCGAAAGAAATATATATTTATCTTGGTTCAATGGTCAAGTATTGTAATGAATTGAATTAGAATGCTGAGCTCTCTAGTTGGGGCAATAGTTATACTGAAATGTTCATGGCGGACAAATGTTTTTTTTGTAAAATTGTTCTCTGAATTAAATAAAGATTTTTTTCTATTTTTCAGATAACTTACCTCACGTGACATAAAAAATTTAGAGATTTCAAATGACTGTCTGATAGTTCTGAGTCTTTCACATAAATTACATCGTACTGTGGATTTGCCTTTTAGAAACTTCTTTAAAATCTGTTGTACCTATTAATAAATTGAATCTATGAATAGTCATGCCTTCATTTCTAGTAAAAATCTAGTTCTTAATGGTTGATTTTGAACACATTTTTTTCTTAATTGCAATAAGTTCTTTTTTCATATTGTCTTTTTATTGTGTGTGTGTGTTAGACAAATTCTTTATGCACCTGTCAGGAGCCTGTCAGGAGCCTCATTTGTATCGGCATTGGATTCAACCCTGAACTTGTTAATTATTGTTAATATTAATTATGTGGAAAACAAAAGGGCTTGGAATGGTGTAATTTTTAATCAACACCATTGTCCTATATATTAGTTATATATAGAATTCTTTGATTCATCATTTTTTACATCATGTCAGCTGACAAATTGGACCTTTTTATTTGAGTAGTATAGATCAATACCACCCTCCTTTAGAGCAGGCATACAATTTTCAGTAGGTAGAATACTGACCTGATCTTTTGTTTTAATTTTCTTTAAATTTGTTTCTGGTGGTTCTCCAGCTACCTATAAATACACAAGTATATACATTTAACCTACAGTAGTTTACAGAGGGTCACATATAATAAATCAATTAAGAAGAGACTAATCAAGGTGATAAACAAAAATTGAGGGGATCGCATGAACTCCAAATGAGCATGACAGAATAAGTCAACAAGATAAGTGTCTCCTGATATGCATGCAAAACAATCACCCTGTGGATCAACACTCAGTCAAATGTCACAATGTTGAACATTTAAATGCATGGTTCCACTGTACCTACAAAGCCCATGAAAATTGGTATCCACAGTAAAACCAATAATAATGGAACCCAACTCATTCTTGCAAGCCATTTATCAAACAACTTTTGAGAGTAGAAAAATTACATAAATATAAATTTTTGCCATGCATTCTTTGGCAATATGTCAACCTTAGATCTCTGATTAATGGCATACTTTCTAAATTTCCTCCATGAGAACTGGAAGTGACCTGACCCTTGAAATCTTCCATTATATAAGCTGAATACCTCAAAATAGCAATCAAAGGAGTTAAAATGGTACTGTTCATAAGTGTTTCTCGTTTCTTTTTTTTTATATAGATTAGTCCGTTGGTTTTCCTGTTTAAATTGTTTTACACTAGTCTTTTTGGGGCCCTTTAAAGCTTGCTGTTCGGTGTGAGCCAAGGCTCCATGTTGAAGGCCGTGCTTAGACCTATAACTGTTTACTTTTTACACATTGCGACTTGGATGGATAGTTGTCTCATTGGCACTCAAACCACATCTTCTTATTTATATTTATGCACATATACAGCTATTCAAATTTCAAGACCATATAAAGTAAGTTTAAAACATCTTTGACATGAATAAGAAAAACAATTTGCTTCTTGATGATTTTCAGATGTTGGCAGGTATGATGGGAATGATATCAACAAAGTTCAAAAATAATGAAAAAAAAATCCCTGCAAAATAAGCTTGAAAAGGCCAAATGTGAAAATAATATGGTTTTCACATCATGATATAAATCATTCTTATTGCTTACTTGGATAACAAAACTGCTGGAAAATTTACATGTTCATGGTGGACCAAAATGAAGAGCCTAATAGGTACATGTTATTCAAAAGCCAAAAGTAATGAAAAAACTGTGATCCTTTAATAAATGTATAAGTGAGGTAAAAAATATACAGACACAGTTTCTGAAACAAAAGAAGTAAGAATTTTCTTATATTCTGTTGAACTTGCTGGCATTTAAGCATTTCAGCAGTAAACAGGTACTCAAATTATTGTTTTAACCTTTTGTGTATTCTGTGTGATTATAATTTGTTGAACAACAAGCATACCTTACACCTATTTAAAATGAAATAAATGAATGTTCTGATTTTTTTTATTGACATAGCTATTTAACACTTATTTGTAGATGTAAAATCTGACGTAAGCAATTCATTCATAGACTGGAAATATCTGCAGAAAACCAGTTATATCAAGTATAAAGTAGGCAATGATCTAATTGTATACATAACAATGCCATATTATCACATTTGGTAAATATCGTGGAATAATACAGCTGTTTTCATTGATTACTAAATGCTATCAGGGGTTTTATTATCTTTCATGTTGACAGTTACTTTTCAATATATTCCATGAATACCTTATATAAAGGCATTACTCATCAGTAGCATAGAAGGGTAAAAGTACCAGTTACCCCCTCCTGGCTGAATTATATGTAAATAATACATAGTTGAGAGGGGGATAGAGCAAAAAATGATCTGCTATTATTAGAAATGTATTATTCAATTTATTTTGCTGAATTTTCTACTAATATTGTCTGTTAAATTTGAAATCCTTAATTGTCTTGAATAATTGATTTAAATTTTAAAACATTATCCTTAAAACTATTGGATTACAATTAAGTTACAGTCTTTAATAATTGAATTTTAGATTGCTCTGCACGAGAGGGTGACATTAAAAAAAAATTGTCATCCACTGAGCCATATGTTATAGTAGAATGATTTTTGTTTAAGAAATAATTCTATCATGCCATGCTCTATGCTCATTTTAACAAGGGTAGGCATTATATTGAAAATCTACACCAACACAAATGTCCATTTTGTTCTCTGGAGTTGTTTAAAATACAACTGACGTTGCAATTTCAATTGTGACGTTAATCACGTGCAGCCCATGTTCTATTGCAATTAGAACATGGCTTTGTTTCTAAAGCAAAAGAAGAACATCATATTAGAATTAATGTTTGTCTACCTTTATGTTATTTATTTAAATCAGGCTGTTAGTTGTCCCTCTTGAATTTTCCTCTTTTTGTTATTCAGGGGCCTTTTATAGCTTACAATACTATGGGGGTTGCTTACTATTGAAGGCTGTATGGTGACCTGTATTTGTTTCAATCTTCTTTCTTTGTTCTAGGATGGATAGATGTCTCATTGACAATAATACCACACCTCCTTATTTCCATATAAAGGTCAATGTCAAAGTCACTAAAAATATCAGAAAATATATCAAACATGGGAGTGTAGTTTGTGAACTATGGAAAACACAAATGTTCTTATAACTGTCAGTGCATTGATATTCTTCAATCATAAAAGTCAATACAACATAGCCTTAAACATGGGAGTGTAAGTTTGTGAACTATGGTAAACACAATGTTCTTGTAACTGTCAATTCACTACATTATCGCCTTTTAACTTTTTAACACAGGAGGCAGAAGGCCACATGAGGTTTTGCCATCACATGGCATCGGTCATCCATTAGTTTTTCAAATTTTTATCATCTTCTAAAGAATCACAGAACAGATCGAAACTAAACTTGGCAGATATGTTCCATACACTGTCCTTTCTGATTGTAGTTACTTTGGTTGCAGCTAATTCATCAACAAACATGGCCACAATGGCCTTTTCTAATTTCTGATTGGCTTAAAATAGGAAAAATTTACAAGATGAGTTGAACCAATTTAGGTTTAACAAGTGTTGTAAATTTGGTGCCCATCAGAATTATAAATGGCTTACAGCAGGGATCAAAATATACATAAAAGTTATACAGTATAAGAAATAACATTTGGATTTTTTTTTTAAGGAGAGATGACAGAAATGAAAACAAATCAAGCAGAAAGGATCTTAAAAGGGTATTTAAGTTATACAGTGTAAGAAATTACGTTTGGATTTTTTTTTAAGGAGAGATGAAAGAAATGAAACAAATCAAGCAGATAGGATCTTAAAAGGGTATTTAAGTTATATATACATTGTAAGAAATTACGTTTGGATTTTTATTTAAGGAGAAATGACAGAAATGAAAACAAATCAAGCAGAAAGGATCTTAAAAGGGTATTTAAGTTATACAGTGTAAGAAATTACGTTTGGATTTTTATTTAAGGAGAGATGAAAGAAATGAAAACAAATCAAGCAGAAAGGATCTTAAAAAGGTATTTGCCATATGTTATTACTTTATTATTGTCTTTTTGACAAAATACAGAAATAAAGACACAAGACAATTTAGAGCTGGACATTTGTTTATTGCTGAGGACTGCATGTTGCACTTTCAATGTTTTGCAGCTGTATGTGTCTAAATTAACATTTACAATAGTGTATTGTTAAGCTATCAACTGAACTCCAATGTTAAGAGTATATGTTGCCATATTAATGAGGGAGTGGAAATGAAATCAACGAAGACATAGATGATGATGATAAATTGGTGTTTTAAGTCCTGCATTAATAGTACAGGCATTTCAGGTTAAGAACATGCTAATGTGATATGATTATAAAACCTGCAAAAACAATCATCCTGAGAGTATTGCATGGCAATAAATAGTCCCCTAACGGTTAAATATTCATTGTACTGGAACAAATTACTAACTTGATCTATAACTTGTCATGGTGTAAACTATATAACAAATGAATATCTTCACAGACAGACAGACAGACAGACAGACGAATGGAGTGCAAACCTAAGGTCCCCTTAGACTTCGTCGGTAGGGGACTAACTAGAACCACACGCTGAACCAGATTTATAACATGCCAGTTCACAAGGTTACATTCTGCAGGGGAACTTGTCTCCTACCAAGAAACATTATTCTGACTCAAGCCGACCAGTCTTTGCTCTTACTCCTCCATACCACATGTTAGCAGAGAAGCAGGATATATCAATTTTCAAGACTTTGGTTTGAGCTAGCTGAGGATCGAAATCATGACCTCCAACTTGAGGCAAGTACCAAACCATTGAGACAAATTCTCAAACTGACTTAAACATTGGTCCAAAGTGACAGGTATTGGTCCAGCACAAATAAAACATAGTTGTAAATATATTAAAGACTTACTCTTAAAGCTTCTATTCTGAAACCAAATGCAGCCGTTGAGCTTTCTTGTTCTCTAAACTGAAACAAAGAGATTAAATCCTATAGATATAAAGTTTTTTCAGTTAACAGGTCATTTTCTTTTTTTCTTTTGGTTAAATGTACTCCATGTTCCTTGTTTAATATTTATAAAAATCATTTCATTACATTAATTTATATCAAAGTACTGAAGTACTGAACATCGGATGACCGCAGGTTTTTGTGGATGGTCAAAAGCACATGTCACAGAAACAGATCACATCTCAATACCTGAAACTGAGGTTAATGTACAGAGATTTTTTTTCTTATACAAGTTCGTGCTTGGATGATGAATAAATGACAGGAAATTCAACCTCACCGTAATAACTATTATATTGTAGTGATACAAATCAGTATACCTTAGACTATTATACTAATATAATAATAGTTCCAGAGAATACACTGGTTTGTTGTTATATATTATATTTATATTACGGTTGCATGTATATATAATTTTCATCTATTTGTATATCATACTATTCTACTATTATTATAGTGTAATGCAAGTGCATGGTGGACACTCTTCTGTAAAAAAAAATCAAAGTCTTAAAGGCTGTAAAAGCAATTGCTGCCATGTTAATGTTTTGTGGACTTTTATTTTTCATCCATATATATAAGAATTAAACCTGACAGGACAGGAGTGTTGACTAGTGAGAAGCAAGACGGTTTTAACTTTATATCAATATAAGACTTTAGCAGGAAATCATTTTAAATATGTTTTATATTTTACAAGGAGACAACAAGTTTACCAGGCTAAAGTTGGGGTTAATTATACATGTGCTGAAACATATAACTGAAAAAAAAATCATTATGGATTATCCCCTGGTAGTGTTTGTAACTGGGCAATAATTTCCTTTATTGATTTAATTTTAACCATTTTCATAATTAATTTAAATTAACCATTCAGTTAAAACATTTCAACTTTCCAGACGCTAATGTTGAAAAACGGGACAGAAATAAAATATCTTACAAGACATAAACATGTAAAAAATAAATATATATTTCAGCTTACTAAAAATATTTTCATAATGTTACTTTGACATCATTTCTTAAAACTAAGTCCCAAACATAATTGCTCAGTTGACATGTGTCATCCTCATGCGATACGAGATAACTATATTTCTGATGCAATCCCGAAAAGGGGGGTCATCACAAACAAACATGACATTAAATTGTCATTATACGAACTAGAACAAACAGCTCTATGTTGCTTTGATATTTATCAATTTTCAGGAAACATGTGAAATAAATTTCAGGTCCATTTCATTATAGTGCCTAACAAGATTGTGTGAGGTAGACGAAATTGACCTTAAAACGATCGTATTGTCTTTTGATGTCCAAAAATAGGCAGATCGGACATATACGGACTTTATCTAATGACTACATAAATTTGGGATTTATTATTATTATAATATTCTAATGAAACTGAAAATTGTATTTTTTTTTAGGATAAACAACAATTTTACCTGGCGTAGCCGTTCATAAATGTTTTTCTGCATTTATCTTCGAAAAAATGGCGTATTTAATGGAATAGAACGTTAATACAGTAAACTTTCTCTTTTTTCTCCGCAATAGGCTATCAAAAATAATTTATCTAATGTGTATGTGGAAAATTATGTGAAAAGATAAAAAGTGGCAATTGTTACCTTTCATACCTTAAGTTTCGTTCATCTGATTCTGACCAATGCTTATATACTAAATATCTATTTATATGCCGCTATTATTGTTGTTGTTACCAATTATGTAAATCAATTGTATCTGATTTTATGCCCTTTATGGGCCCTGTAATTTGGGAAATAAAAAAAAAATCTATTCATTGATAAAACGTAATATGGACTGGTCCAGTGTCCAGTTTGCAGGTCATTTAATTTTCTGTACACATTCATGCACGCTCTGATTTAATCAATATACTCGTACGAAAAAGCATGAACAGTTTAAAGGTAATCTAATAATAACTTAATCCAATCAAATTTCATAAGATTCAATAACAATGTCAAGTCCACATCATAATGAGTAATAGAGGTAAACTGGGTAGGGAGAAAATGACAGATATTTCAAGTTAATATTTATGCAATAACGAATTAAAATTTGTCAACCAAAAGTTTTGCTACAATTTCAAAAACATGGCGTTCTGTATGGGTATAGTTTTCGGATCTTTCATTAGCGTATTTAAGGCTATAAAAAGTTTGGGCTTCAAAAGTTCACACAATTATTGACTTTATACAGTAAAATTCGTCCTTGTAAAACATTTAATAGTTCACAAATGATACGCGATTTTAAAGTAAAATTATTTCTTAAAACACTGCAAAAAATTTCATTCATATTGATAAAGTTGTATCGTCATAAAGTGCGTTGAAATGAACAGTGGTATAGCAAACATCGAATTCCCTCACAAAATGTTATCACACACTACAGTAAGGGGAGTCAGTTAAGTTTACAGGTAATCTTTTGACTACGTATACAACCTGTGTGACCTGTGTAGTGATTTTGATTTTACGATAAATTCATGAATGAACGATAATTTTATGAATGAACATGAGCACCTGACCTCTTTCTTAAACACCTATTAAACATATAAAACCGTATTTAATAAGGAGATAATTCAGTCAAATTTTCAGTACTAAATCAACAACTGAAATGATTCCATTTTTTGATGAAACATCGTACGAACGGAGAACGGAATCGCAGGTATAAAAATGCACTTTTTTCCCTTGTAATGACCGCGGATCTATAATTTTTATAGATCGGTTGAAATCCCAAAACTAATTTGCATAATGGAAATTTAGGCAATAGCAATACATCGGAGTGACCTCAAGGTCATCCTCTGTAATAAAAGCATACAAACATTATGAAAATAAAAATTATTAAGTATCATTACACAAATTATCTAAATCACTGTTTTAATCAGGCTCAAGAATAGTTAGAAATGTTTTGTACTTATTTCTCCCTGTGCGATATGTTGACATTGATATCAAATATCATAAAATTAAATAAAGAAAAAAAAGTGTCATCTCTTATCTAAAATATGAATCCAGTTATAGACATGACCATTACCAAATTAACCTGAACATCTTGATGTTAACAGCAATTGGATACGACCGCAGAGGTCCAACCCTGAACAGTTGGGGCAAAAATGGACACAATATTCGCGCTTGATACAGGTCTGAATTTGGATTGTAATTAAATATTTGACACATAATAGGTTTCTGAATAAATTTAGTCAAATAACTTGAAATTGGTTATATGAATTGAATTTATATTCAATTAAAGATTTCTTGCTGTTGTACAATACACTGTGCTGTTGCGCAATACTTAGTAAATCTGTTGTCAGACTATAAACAAATAAAGTTCAAATTCTTCTCAATGTCAATTTGAAATTTATGAAAATCAATAGGGAGATTACATCAAAAGCTATAAATAATTCACCAAAGTTTCATGCAAACTGCTTAAAGCATTTTTGAGTTATTGTCCAAAAACTGGAAAATCCCCCCCCCCCCCCCCCCTTTTTTTAATGAATAAAACCCCATAACTCAGAAATGTAAAATCTAAAATTTATATAATTCTAAAGGGAGCTTACATCAACAGATATAAACAAATTCACCAAAGTTTCATGAGAACTGCTGAAAGCATTTTTTAGTTATTGTCCTAAAACTGGAAAATCCCCCTTTTTTATGAATAAAACCCTGTAACTCATAAATGTAAAATCTAAAATTTATAAAAATCAAAAGGGAGCTCATGTCAATAGATATAAACAATTCACCAAAATTTCTTGCAAGTTGGTGAAAGCATTCTTGAGTTATTGTCGGAAAACTTGAAAATCCCCCCTTTTTTAATGAATAAAACCCCAAAACTCAGAAATGGTAAATCTGAAATTTATAAAAAAAAAAAGGGAGCTCACGTCAATAGATATAAACAATTCACCAAAGTTTCATGCATATTATTTAATGCGTTTTTGAGTTAATGTTCGACATGTTGACGATGGACACACAGACTGACGGACGGACGGGCTGAAAAACGGACAACGGTATACCATAATACGTCCCGTAAACGGGCGTATAAAAAAAAGCAGAAATCAATACTTTAAAGGCTTCTTTATTTTCTGTGCATGATATGTTAACCTTGATATCAAATGTCATAAAAAAGAAAAAAATTACATAATTTCTAATCTTTTACATATAACTACTTTGTATATTATAATTTTCTTACAGCCTCTGCATCCAGAGTTTATTGTTGTTGACATCTGGGTGTTTCATAGACTGATTTCAAATGTCATAAAAAATGTCTATCATATGTCATCACTCATTTAACAAATATATTGAAAATCAGCTTAAAGGTCAAGGGCAATGTTATTCCCACATGCCTTATTACAAAATTTATATTTTCATATATTTTTTTTCAGTTTGAAGGTTACTCGATTAAAAAACAAATTCAAACTAATCACCAAATGTAGTTTTAAATGTATCAAAATTCCAATCAAAGGAGTAGTATTAATTGAAACTGCTGGAATTTAAACCTTGATATTTTTGCAGATTGTTATTTCATGCAATTTTATTGCATCAACTTTTTGTACTGGGGTTATATTCGTGCATCAAACAATAAGTGTACCTTTTACATCAATATTGCTGATTTGCACAAACTGTTTGCAAGGGGGTATTTTTTCGCATTTTTAACGCATTCATGAAATAAGCGAGAATAACCCCTGTGCTAAAATTTCTAGGTTAACTTTGGTTACATGACAATATAGTTTTATTTACCTATAATGATCTTACCTGCATATACCTGAGTTTGGTTATTGCTTGTTGGTCCCTCTCATCTTCTGTTGGGGCATCAGGGTCAAGGTCAACCATCTTTTCATATAAATCTTTCCGTAAAACTGGATTTTTTACCTCAGATTCTAAAAATGTCCTGAAAATAAATTTTATTTGGTAGAACTTTTAAAAATATGAAAGTGGCAAGTTTTTAAATTAAAAAACAAATGTGTTTTTTGGACTATTTATATAAAATACTTCCAGGGGTGGATTTAAGGGGGGGAGGTGGGCTGGGCACCTTATGGAGCTTCATTAATGGTTAATCCAGACTTTTTACCGATTTCACTACAAATTTTTTCTAGTTTGGGGGCCTGTGGGCCACCCCCTTTTTAAAAATCCTGGATCCACATCTGACTTCTGGCTCTTTTCAATGACAATCATAATGGATATACTGTGGAGGCAGTCAGTAACTAGGAAAATTGAATCCAACGTACCTTGAAAAAAAATTTTGAGAGGGGGGATGGGGGTTGTCACTGTGCTGCTGTAGCATTGACCATTATCCAACATCTTGTATTCATATGCACAAGAGAAATTGCATCAATTTTGTTTTGTTTTATAAAACTTTTTAAAATTATCTTAGAGAGTTGAAGACTTGAGAGCAATTTCTGATTATATTTAATATTTCCATGAGGCATAACTCATTAAAAATATTTGATCAGCAATTTTCGAATTTGTCCGTGACATTGCTGATATTAACCTTTGATATGAATTTGATAAAAATCTTGAAAAATTGTACACATGAGAGCACTAACGATGCTATTTTCCATGTTATTAATATTTCTTGGGGCCATAACTCTTTTTAAAAATTATTGATCGGCACTGATTTCCGAAATTGTCCAAGACATTCCTGATAAACCTATGATATAAGTTTCATTAAATCTGGCAAGAATTGTACGTGAGAGCGCTAGCAAGACCGGACAGACGAATGGACAGACGGACACCCTGTATTCCACAATGCATTGCGCGGGGGAAATAAAGAGTAATTGGATAACATATTTTTATCTAAAAACCACATGGCATGGAAACTACATCCTATTGTTGAAACCATTTACTTATACTTACATTGACCAGCTGGTTGACCATAAAATGTTTGGTCTGAATGCATTTACCAAGAAGAAATATCTTCTCAAATGCTTTCAATTTAAATTAATAAAAAAGGGATTTTTTGGGGGGTTGGAAGAAGGGAGTTTCCTTCAATATATACGGTTTTGTTGAAGGCCGGTGACCTATAGTTGTTAATTTCTATGTCATTTGGTCTCTGGTGGAGAGTTGTCTCAATGGCAATTACACCACATCTTTTATAGTAGACATTTTTTATGACATTTTTATATTAGCATGCAAGATCATGCAGGGGTTAGAATAAGCATTCATAAAATTTAAAATAATATAAAAATTCTTTTCTTTTCAAGATTCAATTAAAATTTTTGAAATATCTTGATCATGGCGGTCAGTTTTTACTGGTGGAGGAAGCAAGAGTGCCCAGATAGAACAATGACCTTCAATAGGAAAACTGACAATCCTAGTCAATTAAGATTCAAGTCCAACACACCTCCTGGGTTCCAACTTCTAACCTGTGTTGACAGGCTAGTGATAAATTAGATGAACTACTTAGGCTGGAGGAACACACCAAAGTCCCCTCAAATATTTGAAGTTTTATTTTTTTCATTTGTGAAGTTGCAGAATAATGAAAGTAATTCAGGTAACCTTACTTCTATACCTCAGCTACCTTGAGGGTCTGCTATATTGAAAGGAATATTACCATCGATTACAATAACTCACCTTGTACCAATTTTAATATCCATTATGTTGGGGTTGTCAAAATGTTGTAACAAGTCTTCCATTTCTATGAAAACTGATGAAATCAGATTAAGGAAAAAAATATGAAGATGCATCAGTGTTATACAAAACATAGTAATTCAAAATGACATATAAGTAGAAAGCTACACAAAATCAGACTTCTTGTCCTATTTTCTTTTCAATAAGGTGCAACCTTGTACAACATGAACAAGTTATTCATGAAAACAAACTTCCAAAATTTGTACATGTAGTAGAATTCACAAATTAAAAGATTTTTTTCTTATTTTTATTATATAAATAAATTTCTAATATGTACTGATTATCTGGTTGTATACTGCATGTTGATATTGTAAAATATCAGCTGCAAATTACAATATGAAGCTTTTTGTCAAGTGAGCGCAACAAAAGAGTTAAAAAAGACTTAATTGATTTATCGGATTGTATTTGCATATTTTGCATGATAGAAACAAGTGTTTTCTTTGTATCACCAGCAAACAGGAAGATGACTTGATTAGGTCAGGTCAAACTTATCAAAGTCAGTTCATTATGATGTCAGTGATATGTCCAAGTCAAAGTTATCAAGGTCAGGTCAACGTATTTGACTCACAAAGTCGTGACATGCAATTCTGTTAAGAGCTGAGCAGAGTGATACAAACAGTGGGATGACCAATCAATTAGTAACCCTTATCAGGACATTTAATACGGATGACCAAAAAATCAAACTGAAATATACCTTACAACTAAATGCTAGCAAGTTGTGTATATTCACAATACTTATAATCAAAGGTCATACACGCAGTTATTCTGACATATCAAATATTTATTTGTCTTTAAAAGTAAAATAAATCTAAAAGACAAAGCACCTTTAAATTGAACTCCAAATAAATAAAGTTAAAAAACTGTTAAATACCGTTCTTCACAAGTTCATAAATCATGTAAATGTGAACCAATCTAGACATAAATGTGTTTTATTCAAATCAGCGAAAAGATTAAGTGAAAATTAGAATTAAATAAGTCGGGAGACATCTGATACTCTAAAAGCCTGGATATAAAAAGTTTTCAGTATAAAAATAAGAAGATGTGGTATGATTGCCAACGAGACAACTCTCCACAAGAGACCAAATGACACAAACATTAACAACAATAGGTCACTGTATGGCCTTCTATTATATTATATGTCTCTGCCTCAGAGAAATCATTTTTACTGAAATAGTATCCTAGATGAAAGCAACATTGTCATTGATTTTAATACGTATAAAACTATAATGAAACATAATAACTTAAAATTATATCTCTAGGCAACACCAGAACCGTAATCAGTCAAATTTGATCTTCTTAAAAACAATTGAAATCTTTCATCATTAAGTTAGAATTAGCAATTCGAGAAGAAAAAAAATCAAAGGAAAATTTGTATGATATCTTATGAATCTATTTTAATCTGACAGATTAATTCTGACTGCATGATATCAAAGAACTGTTTCATGATTTCAAAGAGAAAGACGCAATAAATGTCATCCATTAAAAGTTGGTTCAAACACATCTAGCGAGCGAAATTCAGTCTAATTGATCTTCTTAAAAAAGGTTTGCAATCTAACTTTCATTGTTAGCTTAAAATTAAGAAAAAATAAAAAATCAAAGGATATTTTTTACAATAACTAATTAATTGCTATTTTCTGGGTTTATTCTCATTGATTTTCAATTGAAAAAAAAAAGAGACAGGAATAGTCATTTGTTCATAATTTGTTCAAACATATCTAGTGAAAACCAGTCACATTTTGATCTTCTTAAAAAAGGTTTGGAATCTAGCTTTCTCTAGGTTAATAGGTATGAGTTTACTTCCATATGTCATCAAATCAGAAAATTATAGATATTAGGCAACTGAGCTATTTGCACAGTCAAATTGCATTGACCTTATATTCATTAGAGATTCACACGTTTATGTTTGCTTAATGTCCAGTGGCAAATATTTCATGCATTTTCAGGACCAGAACACATAATTAACAATAAATACAATAGGTAGGTACTGTATTACAGGCTGTCCCTGATAAAGGTCATAAAAATTTGGACTGCCACGGGAAAATGAGGGTATATTGAATAAGAAAAGAAAATTTGCCCTGTGACAGGCCACCTATGGACCCCTCAAAGAGTTGTTAGTTATTCGTATTCAGCTTGAAATAAGATAGAAACGGTTGGCAAAGCCTTGCATCCTGCCTGTTTCTAAGCCTAGAACAAATAAATTGTATATATCCAGACAATGTATGGTTATTCTGTATATATTGTTATACAAAAACTAGTAAACTGTCAAGTGTAAAGCAACTAATTTTGGCGAGCACTTTATTTTTCGTGAATAGAAAAATAAGGTGAATATAAATCGTTGTGAATATGTAAAACTTGGATCTTTCCTTATTTAAATACATCAAGTAAATTTAAAAAATGTGAAATTAAATCGCTGAAAAGTAGGTTAGAAAGGGATAAAGTGAAAAAGTACATTGTATTCACCAATATAAGTTGGTTTACAGTATTCATATTTTCTTGTACCGGTCCCAATCCTTGTCAGTAGTTGTCATACGTCAAATCTTAATGCTTTTCCTTATTTAGAGTATAAGATTTTAATGGGCAGATCTCTGTTTCATTGAAATGAATTCACATCTTTTATAAACACAGGACGAACTAGAGCTTGGCAAGTGTAAAGACACACCTGTCTTTTTGGCCTCTGGATGTCTTTTGGTTACTTTTGTCCTTGGGTTGCTGTCTCACTGCCGTACAATCCACATCTCCTTTTATTTCAATACAACAAATAGAAGGTTCAGACTTAAATATATTAAATTGTCCTGCAGTTATACAAAATAAAAATCTTTTGTCAAATGAACCAGTTTAATCTTGCATGAAATCAGTTATATTTTGATGTATTTTACTGATATTTGCATTTAATCACACAGAAAAATCAGTGCCACTAGGTATAAAAATATGTGAATGAGAAATTGTTTTATGTCGTAACAAAAGCATTAAACATCATCGCATATTAATGGGCCTCTCCCAGGAACTTCGTCACTGGTTGTACGATGTCATACACATTATCTTAAGTGAGTATCATTGGGGTGCAAGTGTGATGCAGGATTGGCTGATTTTTTTTGTATGCATGACACATAAAAGTCAAATCATTTTGCGTGAAAACGGGAAACGAAGTTGGGTGGAAAACGTGAAATTACAAGCGCTATTATTACAATGATAAGTGGGATACAGGATTCTGAAAAAACAATTAGCGGGATCCCAGGATCCAAATATCCATGAAAATATAACTTCCTAAATCCACAAAAAGTTAGTGAATGCAGAGTAATCAGGATGATTTAGAGCTTGACACCTGTTTATTGTTGAAAAACACATGTTACCCTCTCAGGGTGACAACAGCTTGACATACAGGTATTATTATGACACCTGTTTATTGTTGAAAAACACATGTTACCCTCTCAGGATGACAACAGCTTGACATACAGGTATTATTATGACACCTGTCTATTGTTGAATATCACATGTAACCCTCTCAGGATGATTTAGAGCTTGACATACAGGTATCACTATGACACCTGTCTTTTGTTGAAAATCACATGTTTAAACCTCTCAGGATGATTTAGAGCTTGACATACAGTTATCATTATGACACCTGTGACTGTCTTTTGTTGAAAATCACATGTTACCCTCTCAGGATGATTTAGAGCTTGACATACAGGTATCATTATGACACCTGTCTATTGTTGAAAATCACATGTTACCCTTTCAGGATGATTTAGAGCTTGACATACAGGTATCATTATGACACCTGTCTATTGTTGAATATCATGTTACCCTCTCAGGATGATTTAGAGTTTGACATACAGGTATTATTATGACACCTGTCTATTGTTGAAAATCACATGTTACCCTCTCAGGATGATTTGGAGCTTGACATACAGGTATTATTATGACACCTGTTTATTGTTGATTGTATGTTACCCTCTCAATGTCTTTAGATTATTTTGTAATTGGGTTTCTGTCACTATGATGTATACCCCACATCTCCTTTCATAAGCTAGACTGACTTTTCATAACGTGACGCTTATTGTACTTCATACAGTAATTTCAAGTTTACAAATAGTATAAAAAAAAACATTAAAATTTCATCATCTGTTAAAAAATCCCAGTACAATGAACTTTTTCATAACAATTATCTACATAGATGAACCTTTAAAAAACAATTATCTACATAAATGAACTTTTCATAACAATTATCTACAAAGAAGAACTTTTCATAACAATTATCCACATAGATCATTGAGCTTTTCATAAAAATTTTCTACAAAGATGAACTTTTCATAACAATTATCTACATAGATGAACTTTTCATAACAATTATCCACATAGATGAACGTTTCATAAAAATTATCTACATAGATCAGCTTTTCATAAAAATTATCTACAAATTTTATGAAAAGTTCACTGTACAGGGATTTTTTAACAGGCAATTAACAGAGACTATATTTGTATGACAGATATTCTATCCTTTTTTTGTTTATTTTAGCTAGTATAATTGATGTAATTTCAAATAACATAATTTATGACATCCTCATCAGAGTTGTTTAACAGTTAAGGTGAAAAATAAAATCAATATCTGAAGGCTATAAATTAATGATATTTGCTATCCATATTGTTGAATATGTGTTATTGAATGATATGGTACCAAGGCTATCTTAGTTTTTGTACTAAATAATGATATGGTTCCTAGCTATTTACACGAATATGTCAGTACACTAATAATAGAAATTATAATTTACTTTACATCTATCAAAGCCAAAATCAAAAAACTTTTTCTTTTTTTTTTAAATTCATGGCTGACTGATTGCGTTTATGGATGGAAAACTGTCTGACACAAAGTGACAAGAAGGATAAAAGTGCTGTAGAGTGGATTCCAGCTTAGAGGTTTTCCTAAACATGGGAGAGATACATTTAAAAGAAGAAGAGTTATCAAAACCCAATCAAAGAAAAACAGATTACCTGTTGGTGTTTATTAATGCCACTTTCAGCTCTCTTGGCTAGATTATGGAGGCAAAATTTTTATTGGTGGAGGAAGACGGGAGAACAAGGAGAGAACCATGGCAGAAACCCATCAAATAAATAACCAAAGGATACAATCACCGTTGTATTCAACTTCTCTATAAAATATGGGTATAATGCTATGGGCTTCATCTGCCATTAATGCCTCATATGCTTTGGTTTCTGTGTTGTCTTTTGTTATTCTTTTCTTCCATATTGTATTGGGGCCTGCTGGTGCAAAGGACCCTGTAAAAAAACAACCAATAAAAAAACCGAAATATAACAGAAGATATTGGTAAAAGATTTAATGTCCATACTGTGTTGGTTCCTGCTGCTACAAAGGACCCTGTAAAAAAACAACCAATCAAAATACAGAAATATTAAAAATGATATTGTTGAGTCTTTTCTTCCATATTGTGTTGTGGCCTGCTGGTGCAAAAGACCTTGTAAACAACAACCAATCAAATTACAGCAATACTACAAAAGACATTGGTTATATAGTCTTTTCTTTAATGTTGTGTTGGGTCCTACGAGAGCAAAATTACCCTTTAAAAAGAATACAGACACAGAAATACTACAAAAGACATTGGTCACCAGAAGTATTTAACAGCTACAGAAAAACATTTAGTCAAATGTATGGGCAGCCATTTGGGCAAAATTGAACAAAATGTTAAAAACAGATGCAAATTTGTTTTTGATGTCTGTTTTTTATTTTAATGTCTGTTTTTTAATTTTATGTCTGTTTTTTAATTTTATGTCTGTTTTTTTGTTTTTGACCCCCTTTTTTTATTTTATGTCTGTTTTTGTTTTTGATGTCTGTTTTTCATTTAAACGGCTGTTTTTTAACTTTGTCTTTTTTTTGTTTTTGCTTTCTGTTTTAAATTTTTAACGTCTATTTGTACTTTTTTATGTCTGTTTTCGTTTTCAAAGTTTGTTTTTAAATTTTGTTAAATTTTGCCCAAATTAATGCCCATACAAATGTACTGAACAACTAAATTTAGAAAACAATCCAATCATGATACATGTACTAGACATTTTAAACATTTAATCTGAGATAGATTGAACTGCAATTTAAAACAAACATGTCATTAAATGAATTTATCAAATTAATGTACTTACTTACTAGTTTCTACCAAGGAACTGATTACTTACAAATTTTAGGGGAATTTTATTTAATATCAAAAGAAATTGCTAATAGTTGAAATTGGTACTTGTTTAGTTGTCAAAAATAAATATTTATGTAATTGTTTGTAAATTTCAGGTAGATAGTCATACCATTATGCAAAATTTATAAATAATTCACTGTCTGGTATTGGTGTTTCCCCCAAATTTCTAACACATAAGTTTTGTACATATTTCAATTATGTATGTTAACAGGAATTAGAAACAAATTTTATCAATTACATATGAAAATTACTTCTAAATGCAGCATGTTTATGACAGAATTGCAACACATACCAATTTTCAAGTCTATGGTTTAACCCGACTAAGATTGAACCATTTAGGATCACTCGCTAGAATTGAGCACGCTACCATGAGACATCTCATGTGGTTCATTACATTTATAAGTGAAACTTCAATTTAGTATTTTCCCAATTTGAATTATATTTTGTACATATTGATAAAATTGTATACAGACTCCTTTAAACAGGAGCACCACACAAGACTGTATGGTTCAATATCTGAGGAGCTAATGTCCTTTGTGAATACATTATTATAATGATTAAATAAGGGATAAAATGTTGAAAGAGGACCAAAATAAGGATTTCAACTTTTTTGATTGCTAACAAAAACTAAATTTATATATATATATTAATCAATCAACTGAATTCCAATAAGTGTAACGTAGTTATAACATCTGAATTTAAAACTAAAACTGCAGTTTTTTGCAGAGCACATCAAACTGAGGAAGTAACATCATGTGGTCTGAACCATTTTAATTTCCCTTCTATAACATACAAAGTGGAAACTTCATTCCTCCTTAATTATTTTATGATTTTCTCTTCATTAAAATTTGTCTGAAGGAAATAGACTCCTCTCCTCTGGATTTTTGGCAGACAAAGCTATGACTTTTCCCTCATAATCTGAATTATTGTTAGACTAAATGGTGTCTTCAAATATATATTTACATACATCCTGGCACTTTACATTTTGAGGAGGTTGGATTTTTAGGGTTTTACACCAAAAAGTTTGGGATCATTTTTTTTTAATCCAATGCAAAATAAAATGGCTTAAGATATATCACAAAGATAGTGTATACCCATATCTAATATGATCAGAAGATTTGCAAAATCAATCTCAAACACAATTTTAGTGATTCAAGAAAGAAGAAAAAAATAGATTTTCAAATTTGTATATCATGCATTTATATATGGTAAAACCCAAGGATTTGTCCCAACTTCAACTCTTCAAATTATGTAATTGGTTGATCAATCTTCAACTGTGAGGTAAGCATGAAATTATATAACTTTCAGCTCAAACTTCACACAGCATATTACTACCTGCAATTTGAATGTATCAATAAAGGAGGGTCTGGATGGGGGTTCCTTCAATTCTGTATTCTTTAATATTTTTAAGCCATTTTTCTCTATTCTTTATATTTGAGCACCCCAATATTTCTCTATTCTTTATTTTTTTGGGCTATTTTTCTTTATTTTTTTTGGCCCATTTTTCTATAGCATTATAGTCACTTATTCTCTATTCTGTAAATGGTTTATCCCCCTCCAGACCCTCATAAATTAACCATTACAGGTATAGAACCACTAATTCAGGCCCGGTCGGAAAGAACATACAAGAAAGTAGTACATATTTTAAACAAAATAGTTCCTATGCATAGCTGTATCTTTGTCAATAGGTGAAATATTTGGGTTGTTTTAGTATCAAATGAAAGCTTGGGGACTTGGGATCACCGTAGAACCCTTTTTGAAAGTTTTATTTGAATAATAAAGAAGTATAAGAAATTTTAATAGGAGGGCTCATTTGGCCTGTTGTTCAGATCAGAAGTTCCTGTTTTTGTACATGTACTATCAAACTTTCGGGAACCAGAACGCTCTAATATGCAATTAAAGGTATGTTGATTTTTTCAGCACAAGTCAGGATAAGGTTCAGGTTTAACATGAAATAACTGCCACTTTATTTGAACTTAAGATAAAGTAGCCATTAATGCTTGAAATTGCAGAATTTAACATAGAAAGCAATGGGGCTATGAATTAGTGGTTTTATACCTATTACTGACAGGCATGTGAAATTCCATTTTTAGAAATCATACCCTTTACAGTGAAAATTGGTCACATTTGTTGTCAGAAATCATGTTAAATTAATTTGTTTATGTAACAATTATGTTAGTGTCAAATTACAGCCCTCAAATTGCTACAATAAGGTATTTTAGCCTTTTTTGGTCATTTAGCATGCACACAGTTAAGATTTTACCTGAAATTTAAATTTTTGGATTATCTAACACTGAAACCAATGAAACTTGTATATTATGACTAGTTTATAGAATAAATATTGTTTTTGGTCAAATTATCTAGTGAGTGTTCATGTTTTATTGTGTTTCTTGGTGAATTATTTATTTCAAGGAAAACTGGTGTATACTTATATAGGAATTCCAAAATCTCACTTGAAATGCATTTTATAACCAATTTAGCAAGTTGTCTAGCTTGGATATACATAAATTGCTCTTGTTGATCCATGTTTATACATAAAAGTATGTTTTTTTTACCAAATCGCTCTCCTTTTCCAACATGTAGAAAAAAGGGGGGACAAAATTCTCAATTATATTTTATGGTTGGACCACTGTATTTATATTCAAGGAAGAATCTCTGATAAAAATAAGACATATGGGTAAGAACACTGTTATTTGAGTAGATATTAACAAATCAGAACTGGTAAAAATTGAAAAAGTGTCATATCTGTCACTATAAGTATACACATGTAGTTTTCTTTGTTTAACGCATATGTTACTACCAGTCCAATTTGAGCTTGAATTCAGTGATATAGTGTTTTGACAAAAGCTTTATGTGTTTTTCTATGCTAGAAATAGATCATAGAAGGAAATTAAGTCAAGCAGAAGTCAATATAACAAGTTTGGTGCTGTTATAGGTATAGAACCACTAATTCAGGCATACGGAGTATATATCTCCAAATTGATACGATATTCCCGGGCTTGTGTTTCCTATCACCACTTCCTTGATAGAGGATTGCTGCTCACAAGGAAGCTATTAAACAAAGAGTTCCAAATGGTGAAGTTGAAATCATCCCTTCGTAAATTTTACGGACGCCATCACTAGTTGGTGGACCGTTATGGAATAACCGTTTCACAGATGATATCCGATATGTTCCTTATGTCTTAACTACAATACCCTTCCCTTTTCAAGAATGTGACTTACCGAATAAGACTATTTACCGGATTTGTAATAACATAAGCAACACGACGGGTGCCACATGTGGAGCAGGATCTGCTTACCCTTCCGGAGCACCTGAGATCACCCCCAGTTTTTGGTGGGGTTCGTGTTGTCTAGTCTTTAGTTTTCTATGTTGTGTCATCTGTACTATTATTTGTCTGTTTGTCTTTTTAATTTTGGCCATGGCGTTGTCAGTTTGTTTTCGATCTATGAGTTTGACTGTCCCTCTGGTATCTTTCGTCCCTCTTTTTTCAAGCCCGGTTGGAAAGAACATACAAGAAAGTAGTACATATTTTAAACAAAATAGTTCCTATGCATAGCTGTATCTTTGTCAATAGGTGAAATATTTGGGTTGTTTTAGTATCAAATGAAAACTTGGGGACTTGGGATCACTGTAGAACCCTTGTTGAAAGTTTTATTTGAATAATAAAGAAGTATAAGAAATTTTAATAGGAGGGCTCATTTGGCCTGTTGTTCAGATCAGAAGTTCCTTTTTTTGTACTATCAAACTTCCGGGAACCAGAACGCTCTAATATGCAATTAAAGGTATGTTGATTTTTTCAGCACAAGTCAGGATAAGGTACAGGTTTGACATGAAATAACTGCCACTTTATTTGAACTTAAGATAAATTAGCCATTAATGCTTGAAATTTCAGAATTTAACATAGAAAGGAATGGGGCTATAAATTAGTGGTTTTATACCTACAAATAGAATAAGTGGTCCATTAGTAAATTTAGGTCAATTAACAATTCATTATACCAATTGTATGAAATGATGTACTGCAGAAACATTATATTAAATTAGTCACTAACTAGATAGGTCAAATGGTCATGTAAAATTGGTTTGACAACTTAAACTGGTTTATAATAACTGTAAATAATGCCAATCATAATAATAATCATATTAATACAAGGGTCTGGATGGGGTATAAAAGGAAATTAAATAAAGAATAGAAAAAAATGGGCCCAAAAATAAATGAAAATGGAATAATTGGGTGCTAATATATAAAAGAATAGAGAATAATGGGCAAAAAAAAAATGAAGAAGAAAAATGGCATAAAAAATACAGAAACAATGATCCCCCTTTCCTAATTATCAAAACTCTGTAAGGTTTTTATGTAAGTAAATTTATGCAACTCATATTGACATTAAGTGCCATGCAGTCTTTGTAAGAATCAGGCAATTTAGAAGAATTTCAAAACATGACCGAAATAAAATGCTTCGCTGGGGCGCAGCTTGATACGACCGCAGAGGTCGAACCCTGAACAGTTGGGGCAAGTATGGACACAACATTCAAGCTTGATACAGCTCTGAATTTGGATTGTTATTAAATATTTGACACAGCATAGGTTTCTGACACAGAAAGAATGTGGTCTAAGAACTTGAATTTTTTTAATTTACCTATTATGGTCCAATGTCCAAAATCAAAATACATGGTTAGATTCAGCATATCAAAGAACACCATATATTCAATTTTTGTTAAAATCAAACAAAGTTTAATTTTGGACCCCAACTTGGACAAACTTGAAAACTGGGCCCATAATCAAAAATCTAAACACATGTTTAGATTCAGCATATCAAAGAACCCCAAGAATTCAATTTTTGCTAAAATCAAACTAAGTTTAATTTTGGACCCTTTGGACCTTAATGTAGACCAATTTAAAAAACAGGACTTAAAATTAAAAATCTAAATACACAGTTAGATTTGGAATATCAAAGAACCCCAATAATTCAATTTTTGATGAAATCAAACAAAGTTTAATTTTGGACCCTTTTGACCTCAATATGAACCAATTTGATAGCGGGGCCCACAAATAAAAATTCTAAATTCATGGTTAGATTCAGCATATCAAAGAACCCCATATATTCAATTTTTGTTGAAATCAAAAAAAGTTTAATTTTGGACCCCAACTTGGACCAACTTGAAAACTGGGCCCATAATCAAAAATCTAAATACATGTTTAGATTCAGCATATCAAAGAACCCCAAGAATTCAATTTTTGTTAAAATCAAACTAAGTTTAATTTTGGACCCTTTGGACCTCAATGAAGACCAATTTAAAAAACGGGACCCAAATTAAAAATCTAAAAACACGGTTAGATTTGGCATATCAAAGAACCCCAATAATTCAATTTTCGATGAAATCAAACAAAGTTTAATTTTGGACCCTTTTGACCTCAATATGAACCAATTTGATAGCAGGGCCTACAAATAAAAAATCTAAATACATGGTTAGATTCAGCATATCAAAGAACATCATATATTCAATTTTTGTTGAAATCATACAAAGTTTAATTTTGGACCCCAATTTGGACCAACTTGAAAACTGGGCCCATAATCAAAAATCTAAATACATGTTTAGATTCAGCATATCAAAGAACCCCATATATTCAATTTTTGTTGAAATCAAACAAAGTTTAAATACTGGACCCTATCTTGGACCAACTTGAAAACTGGGCCCATAATCAAAAATCTAAACACATGTTTAGATTCAGCAAATCAAAGAACCCCAAGAATTCAATTTTTGTTAAAATCAAACTAAGTTTAATTTTGGACCCTTTGGACCTCAATGTAGACCAATTTAAAAAACAGGACCCAAAATTAAGAACCTAAATACACGGTTAGATTTGGAATATCAAAGAACCCCAATAATTCAATTTTAGATGAAATCAAACAAAGTTTAATTTTGGACCCTTTTGACCTCAATATGAACCAATTAGATAACGGGGTCCACAAATAAAAAATCTAAATACATGGTTAGATTCAGCATATCAAAGAACCCCATATATTCAATTTTTGTTGAAATCAAACAAAGTTTAATTTTGGACCCCAATTTGGACCAACTTGAAAACTGGGCCAAAAATCAAAAATCTAAATACATGTTTAGATTCAGCATATCAAAGAACCTCATATATTCAATTTTTGCTAAAATCAAACAAAGTTTAATTTTGGACCCTTTGGACATTAATGTAGACCAATTTGAAAACTGGACCCAAAATTAAAAATCTAAATACACTGTTAGATTCAGCATAACAAATAAATAAATGTGATCAAAGATTTTACAAATCTAATGCGCCATACTGTGCAATTAAAGATTACTTCTTGAAATTTTTCAATATTTGAAATTTGAAAAAAAAATAATATTTGAAGAATAATTCTTTTTAATTTCTGAAATCTGAAATGAGAAAAAATTGGCCCCCCACAATTTCTTTTTATCCCCCCCCCCTTTTTCCCCCAAAAAAATTCTTTCCCTCAAGATATGGTCATAATCTCAATTCAAATTTCCAATGGAGTTGGCAACCATAATTACCCATTTAAATTTACCATAGTGCTAACTTAATCTATTTTATAATAGAATTAATAAAAATATAGTGTCAAATCTTTCATATGGATTTTTTTGTAAAAAAAAAAGATGAAAACATTTGCAGATATTTTTACTGGTCTTCCTTTATAAATATGCATTTCTTTAAACATAATTTAAAAGCAGAGTAAGGGAAGTAACCAAAACGTTGTATTTGGATTACCTCCCTTACACTGTTTTAGATTATCTTTATTGTTCATTAACCATTACTTTATACATAATTTAAAAGCAGTGTAAGGGAGATAATTTCAATGATGTATTTGATTTATCTCCCTTACACTGCTTTAAATTATGTTTTGTACTAAAGTATTTGTCCATTAACCAGGACAACCTTGTTTTTCCCCCTTTTTTGCCCCTAATTCCTAAACGGTTTGAGCCATAACCCCCCAAAGCAAATCCTAACCATCCCTTTGTGGGATGGAAACTTGTAGTATAATTTCAGAGAGATCCATACACCGTTCCACAGTTATTGTCTGGAAACTAGAAAATGCTCATTTTTGGCCCCTTTTTGGCCCCTAATTCCTTAACTGTTGGTACCATAACCCCCAAAATCAATCCCAACCTTCCTTTTGTGGTATTTAACCTTATGGTCAAATTTCAAAAAGATCCATTCACTTAAACTAAAGTTAGAGTGCGAAAACCAATATGTATTCGGACGACGACGCCGGACGACGACGACGCCGGACGACGACGACGACGACGACGCCAACGTCATACCAATATACGACCACAAAATTTTTTTGCGGTCGTATAAAAACCAGCTGAACTAACCATCCTATTTTGAAGTTACCCTCAGCCTAAGTTAGAAATGGTTACAGGTCTTTCGTTTCAGCCTGTCTGGTAATTTGAGAAATCTCTAGATAACTTTTGCTAAGAAGGATAGCAAAGTACTGAGTTAGCTCCCCTTAATTGTTAATATCTTTAGCAATTCAACCAAATTATAATGTCTTGAAATACCAGTTACAGGAAAAGGAAACCAATGTTATTTTCGTGCACCATTATACATTTTGAATTTAAATTAATGTAAACTTGAGCAGGTTTTTGTTGGTCATGTTTTCACCACTGCAGATTGGCACTTAACTGCTAATGACTCTTTACACACAAATGAATCTTACCAGGATGACCTTAGACCTAACGATAATTAAGAATCTTACCAGGATGACCAGCTAGCTGTATCCATGTGTTTTTTCTGTTCTTAACCAAGGCATCACTTGCTGGGGCAGTCAGATCTAGTGTCGTCTGAAAATATAAAAGTCAAATTTTCAAATTGGGTTCCATACTCAATTAAAGTGCAGACAGGTATATCCAGCAAATCTCGTCAAGAAAAGCGAGAATGAATCCAAAATATAACAAATCAAGGACTGTAACCTTTTTTGTGAGCACATTATTTTTTCTATATTTAAACATTGTAAGATATCATCTCCACCATGTGTCCACACTCCTGTAAAGTGTAGCAGGTAAATATTTACACCACACAAGGTTATTAATTAGCAAAAAACTGTCAACACTTTAGTTTTGACCAGGCTGGCCTTAAATATCGCCAAATACTTGTCAATAGAAATATTGAGTAGACATTACAATGTACTTAACAAAAAAAGTCCCTTACTGTTAAATTACTCCTAGTTATGAAATTATGAAAAATTTTCAAGTCCATTTAAACATTTTAAATGTAGTGTTGGATAGAATTTCTCATGACAAAAAACCATGAACATAAAGTAACAGGACAAAAGACATAGTTCAGTTTTGAAATAATGATTTTCACTGATTAGTTGCCAAAAGATCTATATTTTTTTTATACTTTTTTGTATTTTTCTTTAACTATTATATATTTGACAACTTTGTAAAACAAAATTTGTTGACAAAATTTAATTATTTTATTGTTAAAGAAAATTTGTGTTTTTCACACCTCATGTAAGTGTTAATTGCCTACTCCACGCTCCTTTTAAAAATAGTGAGTTCATCTTCATTTTCCAATATTGTGCATAAATTTCAATATTTTATAAGAGTAATTTGTGCATCTTCACGCTTAGAAAGACAGTAAAGATTAGTGAATATAAAAATAAGAAGATGTGGTATGATTGCCAATGAAACACCTCTCCACCCGAGAGACCAAATGACACAGAAGTTAACAACTATAGGTCACTATATGGCCTTCAACAATGAGCAAATTACCCATATCCCATAGTCAGCTATACCAGCCCGAAATGACAAATGAAAAACAATTCAAACAAGAAAAACTAACAGCCTGATTTATATACAAAACAATGAACGAAAAACAAATATGATATACAGCAGCAACAACCACTGAATTAAAGGCACTTACAGAATTGGCAGGTTTAGACATGACTACGGTCGCCCAACCCTCCCCCTAACATGGGACAGTCAGCACAACTTATGAACAAACTATAAAAATCGATTGAGCACATCTTCCCAATAAGATACACAGTAAATGTTTGTGTGTACATCTTCACACTAAAATAGCCAGTGAAGATTAGTGAGTATAACTTCACAATAAGATATGGCCTAGTAAAGATTAACGAGTACATCTTCACACTAAGATAGGCAGTAAAGATTAGCAAGTACATCTTCGCACTAAGATAGCCTGTAAAGATTAGTGAGTATGTCTTCAAACTTAGATTAACAGTAAAGATACTTAAGTGAGTAGGTCTTCACACAATTAAAGATAGACAGTAAAGATTAACAAGTACATCTTTGCACTAAGATAGCCAGTAAAGATAAGTGAGTATGTCTTCAAACTTAGATTAACAGTAAAGATAATTAAGTGAGTACATCTTCACACTATGATAGACAGTAAAGATTAGCAAGTACATCTTCGCACTAAGATAGCCAGTAAAGATTAGTGAGTATGTCTTCACACTAACATACACAGTAAAGATTAGTGAGCACATCGTTACCCTAAGACAGGCAGTAAAGATTAGTGAGTATGTCTTCAAACTAATATAGGCAGTAGACATTAGCGAATATGTATTCACAATAAGATAGACAGTAAAGATGAGTGAGTACATCTTCACACTAATATCAATAGTAAAGATAAGTGAGTACTTCTTTACACTAAAATACACATTTAAAATAAGTGAGTACGTCTTCACATTTAAAGATAGGCAATGAAGATTGGTGAGTACATTTTCACACTAAGATAGGCAGTAAATATTAGAAAGTAATCTTCATACTAAAATCAATAGTAATATAAGTGAGTGAATATTTACACTTAGACAAAAGTAAAGATTAGTGAGTTTGTCTTCACACTAAGATACTCAGTAAAGATTAGTGAGTACATACTCACACTTAATTAGGCAGTAAAGATAAGAGAGTACATCTTCACACTAAGATAGACAGTAAGGATTAGTGAGTACATCTTCACAATATGTCTGTGTTCACACCAAACATCACATACTATAAACCTGTGTACAATTAGTTTCATGTAATTTACACTGGTTTCACATTAAATTTGTTCTCATCTGTACATCATTGTGTTAACACCAGTAAAAATTAGTGAGTACATCATCAACTTCATCTTACGTCAGTAAATATTAAAATAACAAAAATACCGAACTCCAAGTAAATATCATTGGCATTAAAAATATGTAATGAGAACATTTTCAAATTCCAATTAAGGGAATAAATCTGCATACTGTGTGTTATAAAAAATGTAATGAGTACATGTACATCTATCCACTCCAGTAAAGTACTGTGTAAACCTTTTAACATTCTAGTCAAGTGTAATGAGGATAGTTCCACACTCCTATTCAGTGAAGGGAGTACATATTCACACCCAATAAAGTGCTGTGAGTTTCTTTCTATACTCCAGTTACATGATGAATACAAATTTACCATAGCATAGTGTGTAAAGAGTACACATGCAATTTTTTTCACATGAAATTTACACTAAATTTATGTGAAATTTGTGTAATATTCAAACACTGCAATAAACATCAGGAAAATACCATTACAAAATAGAACAATATTGATATTTCAACCTGCACACATGGTCATATTCAACACATTAATTAAAAAACACATGGCCATATTCCACATTATCACACACTTTAAAGAACATGTGGTCATATTTCACACTTTCACACTTTTAATTAAAGAACACTTAACCTCAAATTCACTTTTATAAAAGAACACATGGTCATATTTCACACCATTAATCTTTAATTAAAGAACACATGGTCATTTTTCACACATTCAATAAAGAACACACAATTGTTTCAACACATTCACATTAATTAAAGAACACATGGTCACATTTCTTGCCTCCAGACTTTAATGTAAGAACATGTGGTCATATTTCAACATTAAAAAATATAGAGTATTAAAAAATATTTTGTATAAATCCAAATCTTCACACTTTAATCAAAGAGCACTGGGTCATACTTCACACACAAATTAAAGAACACATGGTCTCACTCCACACATTCACACTTATAAAACAACACATTAATCAAAGACACTGATTAAAAACACATGGTCATACTCCACACATTCACACAAATTTCAGATCACATGGTCATTCACCATACAATCACAATAAAGAACACATGTTCATATTTCACATATGAATTAAAGAACACATGGTCATATTCCACACAGCCATTTAATTAAAAAACACTTGGTCATATTCCTGACAATAATGAAAGCTGATAAAGAACAAATGGTAATATTCCTCACTCTATCACATTCTAACTAAAGAACACATAGTCATTTAGATTAAAAAGTAGTGAGATTTAACAGGAGTATTCAAACAGAAGAACGCTTAGAACAATCCTCAAACTTCAGCAGTTGCAAATGCCAAATGTGGTGCATATAATACATAAATGCGTCAAGTACACATCAAAAGACGATAGTTATTAACGAGCAAATTCACTTTGCACTGGAAGACCAAAATGTATATATTCCCAAACAAAGTGACAACCTTACCACAGATATACAAGAAACACACACATTTTTATATTCTAATGTTTTTGTGATCACATCCACACTCAAACTGAACACTGATTGCATGCACGTATGTCTAAAAAAATCTGTGCAAGTTTTATGTTAACCACCAATCTGATAGCTTATCAAAGTTTCACAAAAAACAAATAAAAGAAAAACAATCAACAACTCACATAAGGGTTCATGCTGCTTCTCTAAAACTCTATTTCTAAAGCTGCAGGTACTGACAGTATATAAGAGAAATGATACATTTAGCAAATGGACTGAAGTTAAACATAAAGCTTTCATATATTTTACAGAAACAAAACAGTCACATTATATTTGTACAGTTTAATATTGAAATGCATTTTGATTTTTATCTAAAAATACAAAAGATAAACAAATGGCTTTTGTACATTTTATCAGACAAAACATTCATATCAGAAATTTTGGAGTTGACGTAATTATTTACTTAAGTGTTAAAATGCCTTACATGTGTCTTAAAAAGCTTTAGTAAATTATGTAAGTGAATCTTAAGGGAACATAATCCTTATAACAAAACATTATATAACAAGTGCTCTCAAAAAATTCTTTGGTATCATCAGATGTGATAAGTTCATATCTTGACTAATCCATATTCACTCGTTTTGTTGATTGGTAATGCATGATTTTATTAGTTATTATGGACTTGGGGTTCTTGAATTTACCTTGGATTTACCTTGAATTTACCTTGGATTTCGGCATTTGTGTTACTAATACACTTTTTTGACACTAAGCTTCTATTTCCCAGACAGGTTGACAGTATTTCTGAAGTGTCACTGATTGATTCCATCGGATATTACCCCCCCCCCCCCCCCCCCCAAGCAAACAAGATCGCAACTGAAAACTGAACGTCGTTCATAAAAAAAAGTCATCTGCTTCAGTGACCGCCTTTTACGCGGGAATTCTCTCCTTGATAACTCTTTCGAAGGTTACAGACCGATAATGTCGCCTAGCCAAAACAAAACTCGTCATGTTTACTTTAATACAGCAAACTGTTTTTGTAAACTGTTAACTATATACGCCGTGACAGTGGTCAATGTAGCTATTTGTTATTTCTGCCTACTCGAAAAACATTTCATTTATTGGGTATTGAAGTGGGTAGGTGCATGAACATTCATATAGAACAAAGATGGTTTAAAAAATGTAGAGTTCTTGTACAATGTATAACCACTCTTATCAAATGCGAGAACAGCAATAATTGGTTTACCAAGTAAACGATTTGTCAGAGAAATGAGAATCCTGTTTACATTGGCATT